GTAGCTTCGTTAAAACTCATGAGGGAAAGTTTTGCCACCCGTTGGGTCCTGCTCGGCTCGAATCCGGATTAGTCGGTGACCTAATAGGCTTCCGAATACTGGGTGGTCCAAAAAAAAAAAAAAAACCTTAATAATTCATTTATTCACTTTCAATTGTTGAGATTTATTGACATTTATTAGAGATAATTATCTTTTTTATCTAAAAAGTCATGATAAATCTTAATCATTGAAACTAGAGTGATAAATAATTAAGATTTTATATAAGTATAATGTATAAAATTTGTGTATAAGTGAATTTTTCCTCTATATATAATAAAATAATTAACAACTTCAACCCTTATGTAATCGTTAAGAATATCAACTTTCACAACTAATTGAGAAAACCACTTTAAAAGATGGGCTTCTTATTGTATCATGCTTTTTAGATCTACTTGAGAGTTATTTACAAATTTAATATTATAGACAACTAATAAACACCACATATGGAATCAATTAATTGTAGCAAAACTTCTATTATAAACCTAAGGAGAATAAAGATCCTTATTGAAAATATAAAGAAATAAGAAAACTTGAAAGCAGAACAGCTACACAAATATTCCCAAGGTAATGGAGGCATGCCTAGAAAGATCCTAAGAAGCCTGCCATAAAGAAGGGGTAGGGCTTTTAGTTTGGGAGACCTCTTTAATTTAGTTCTCGGCAAACAATTGATAACTTTGGAAGAGCAACGAGTAATACACTCTCTAATTCAATATATTCTACAATATATTCATTAAAAAATTATTATTTTAACTTTAAATTCAAGGTGAGAAAATTTTTAATTGTAGAATTTAATGGTTGAATTAGTAAATGTTGGTAAATGTATTGAAATGGAAAGTGTATCAATTATTTTTTTAATTAAATAATTAAAAGTGTTTGAATTAATTTAAACAATTCAATAGTAATCTCATTATATTAAAAGTAAGAGATATTAAATTTAAATTACATGACATATGAGTGGGGTGGGTGAATTGATAAATGGCAGAGAATTGCTTCTCATTATGCAATTTAAAATAAAAAAATAAAATAAATCAACATAATGTTAGACAATAACCCATCAAAGGTAAGATTTGAGAACTTAAGAAACATGTAAATAGCAAAGGGTGTATTTCGTATCACAATTACACTGTACCAAACATGTAACTAGCTGATGGACAGACAATCATGAACATGTAACTAGCTGGTGGCAATTCAATATCATCAATGCCTAGGGGCCAATCTTCATCCCCATCTTGCCGATTGGTGGGACAAAAGAATGCTCCCTCTCCTCGCCCCACGCTTGGAATTCCCCCCCTCTTTTTGAATTTGCACAATTCTGGGGAGGGGGAAGGAGAGATGGATGGATTATATAACTATATAAGTGGTTGGAGTACGGTTGGAACATATATGATACCTAGTGCCATCCACGAGAGCATGATTACCACTTGCTCCAAGTGATGGTTTGCGGGGGATTGAAACTTCGTATGGGAGATGGGACTCTGTTGTAAAGCATTTATACAATCCAAGGAGTGGTCCTAGTACCAGCTTCTTTTATTATCCATTTATACTCCTCATCATATAATTATATATGTAACATACAACATCACACATTATATTTATGAATAATGATTAATATATCTTTCGACTCAATATATTTCATAATATATTTATGAAGAAATTATTATTTTTTAATTTAAATTCAAGATGAAAAAATTTTCAACTGCAAATTTTAATAACTGAACAAATAAGTATAAATATGTTGAATAAGAAAATATACCAATTATAAACCTATACTGATATGTTATTTTTAACTTTGATCACCAATCACCAATCACCAATCCTATACTTCTTTTGTTTCACAATATTTGTCAACTCTCGATTTTACATTTTCAAGTTGTATTATGGCTTTTTTTTTCTACATTAACATTTTAGTTTTTTTTTTTCTTTTTGCCAACTACATTAACATTGTAGTTAAAAGTCACACTCAATATTCCACTTAATCAACAATTTCTTTTCTTTTTTTTTTTTTTTACTCGGGTGGACATTTCTTCTACACTAACAATATAAAAATTACCTTCTCAAACAATTGAACTTTGATCAATAAAATAAAAAAGTAAAATACTCTTTCATCTCAATAATAATTATCATATAGCAGAAGACAAATTTCTAAATAATTACTCTCTTCATTTTTACTAGCTAGTTACGTCATTTTCTATCGTTTTTATTAGTTTTGTCATTTTCTATTTTGAAAAGACATTAAATACCTTTCTTATGAATTTACTCTATTACCCTAACATATTGATAAAGGAGAAAAAACTTTTATTAAAGATAAATGTAATATTTTAATTTGTAATTATTTCAACTTGAATTTATTCCTAAATTGCATTTATAAGAGTCAACATTGAAGCAGTTCCGTGGTTACCATTTTTCAGTAAAAGATTAAAAAGAGTATTAAATTTGAGTTGTAAGCACAAGGAAAGAAATAGGGAAGATCACCATGAAAATACAGTACAAAACTTTTTTTAACAAAATGCATTTATAAAGTATGCAACTAAAACTAAGTCTAAGAGTATCTACAATGGCAAAACTCTCTTTGGTTTTCCATTAATTAATGTTACATTATTATAATTAATGTTATTTTATAAAAATTTACATTTTTATATAAGATAATAATTAGTACAAATTTTGATTTAACTTACTAAATAATAAATTTATTTAAAAATCATTATTTTTTAATTTAAAATTAAATATAAATTAATTTAAAGATACAACCATATATATAGAACTAGAATATATGAATTGGTTGATTTAAGTTATATTTATATTATATTTTAATAATTATACTAGACAAATATTAAAAAATATGTTGAACTGAATGAGTACTAATTATTTTCTTTTTATATATTTAACTCTCAAAACTTCTTAAAAAGTTACACAAACATTATTTTATTTAATCTACATTTTATATATTCAAACTATTATTTTATAAACCCACATTAATAAATTCAAATTACACTTTAAGAAAATCAACTTATAATAATAAATTCAATTATATACAAATTTGAGAGAAAAAAAAAAATTTGTCCTAAAAATTAAGTGCAATATATATTTACTGTATAAAAACTAAAGATTAAATTTTAAATTTATAACTAAAAATATAGATAATTTTAACACCAAATCACATGAGAAATGATTATATATAAGAGCCAGTTTGAACTGGCAACGCTGACTCGTTGTTCAATTGTTTTTGCCTGTAAAGAGACCGATCGACTTTGTTTTATTTTTTACTCCAGTGACATCTAAGCTCTATCAAAATTTTCTTTCTTAAGAGAACTTGAGAGAGAACCTCTTATTGTACATACTCTAATGATAAATAATTGAAAAACTAATTATAACAATAATTATCACTATTATTAACTCGTGTGTATAGTAAAAAACGACGAACATTAATTTGTAGGTAGGACTGAAAACTAAACCAAAGAGTCTTGCATGTCATAATTACAAATATACTAAGCCCGTAAGTAATGGGAATTCAACCTCTTATATTATACCAATGCCAACCAATCATGTCATAAGAAAGTTTATAGGGCACCACTCACCAGGGACCATGAAAGCCGTTCCTCATCCTCACCTTCCCAATTGATGTGAGAAAAGAATGCCCACCCGGTTACAAGGAATCTAGATGTATTTGATTTAACTATTTTATTATTTTATAATTTTTTTAAAATAATTAATTAAAATATTTAAAAATATCGATTTATATATTAATTTTAAATTAATATTAAATGTTTTATAAGTATCAATTAACAACTATTTCAAATAACTCAACTAAACATAGGTTCAAGATTCATTGCACTTTGTTACCCATGTCATAAACTTCCTTTTTCCTTTTTTTCCTAACAAAATATTTCGATAGGTAAGATGTTTGGTTTAAGAGATATTAAGTTGAGGAAAGGGAGCGATTACCTATCATATTATAATATTGACTAAAATTATAATTTAATTACTTAAAAAAATTATCCACTGCCTCCCCTCCCTTCCATTACTAATTATATCCTTTAATTACCTATTATGGATTGGGGCTTCCTCCCCTATACAAGTGTTGCTATGCCACCGCGCGTGCATCTCCCGGCAACAATGATGGTCTGTTTGCTTTCATAGGTACAATGGGTCACCTTGAGCTTGAGGGTTCTCCTTGTGGTGTCTGTGATTCTGTGACACAATAGTTTCAAATCCAGATGGTCTCTAGCTTGCAGACACATTATTTTTGCTCCTTTACTTTTAGACTCTTTTAGTGAGTAAACTATTCGGGGTAAGAAAAGATTGGGAGTATTTCTAGACAAATGAACACCATTTTTCCTTAGAAAGTCTTTCATTTTGTTATCAAAAATATGTTTTTTCACTTTAGACGGTACAATAGAAGCACAACTTATTATTACTTCTTAGTGTATAAACTTAAAGGATACAAAATTTATTTATATACAAATGCTATATATTATATTTACATAAAATATTACTTATTTATTTTTTTATTTCAATAATTAAGATTTATCATGATTTTTTAGATAAAAATAAAAATTATTTT